ACAGGAGAATGATCCTGTGGCCCCCAGGTCTGAACTCAGGTTATTCAATGGCAAAGAGCACTTCTAAAGAATCTACAGCTGAGGGGGAGCTCTGGTGGCCTAGTGGCAAGAAACTGCACTGCAATCCCAGAAGCGCACAGTTCAAATCCACCAGATGCTCTGCCGGGGAAGGAGGGACAATCTCCTCCTGTACCACTCAGGTCAGATTTGATGGTACACACACACACACACACACACACACACACACACACACACAAATAATAATAAGAAGAATCAAAGAATCTACAGCTTAGAGGGGGAAAAATTACCAGGGAAATAAAATATTTCTACTTAATGAAGCAAAACCTATCAAAATGAGGGATGCAGGCAAAGCAGTGGCTAGAGGGACATTGTGATGGATAGAAATCAGCATCAAATAAAAATCTGTACTCTTTTTGCCTCTCTGGCACCAGTCAGTGGCAGCACGCAGCTAACAGCTCCTCCTCTGACCCTCGCCCTGTGACTGGGTCAGTGTTCATGAGAAAGAGTGTCGTCCTTCAAATCGCCAGGCAAACAGAAGCCAGCCATAAGTACGGGAATTCTCCCTGGGCCCCTCACTTCCGACTTGATGGGTACAAGTTTTGATAAGTTATTCTAACCCTTCAAGATTGTTATTGTGTCTTCAAATGGACTACGACTCACAGCGACCCTATGTGCCGTAGCTCTGAACCCCGCCCTGTCCTGAGCCAATCTCACCATCTCTGACACATCTGCCCTCATCACCCTAGTTACTGTGTGAATCCATCTCATCCAGGTCTTCCTCTCCTGTGCTATCCCTTGACCCTTCCAAGCATGATGTCCTTCAAAAACTAGTCCCTCCTGGCTATATTCCCAAAGTACATGAGAAGGAGTCTCACAATCCTTGCCTCCAAGGAGTAGATTGGTTTCACTCTCTCCAGGGCAGACCTGTTAGTTCTCTTAGAGGTCCACGGTATATACTCTTCTCCTGCATCACAACTCAGAGGCATTGATTCTTTTGTCATTGTTGGTCATTGTCAAGCCCTCTGATGCATAACAAATAATTGCAAAGACCATGCCTAAATCAGATGCACCTTAGTCTCTAAACTGACATCCTTGCTCTTAAGCACTCTGGAGATAGCAGATTTTCCTAATGCAATGCATCATCCTTTAATTTCCTGACTGCTGTTACCAAGAGTGTTGATTGTGGAACCAAGCCCGCTGAAATTGTTAACAATCTCAATCAATGATGCTGCCAATTGGCCCAGTGGTGAGAATCTTTGTTTTCTTGATATTCAGCTTCAATTTATATTGCAGACTACAGTCCTTGGTCTACTGCAGCAAGTGCTTCAGGTCCTCCTCAGTTTCAGCATGCAAGGTTGTGTCATCTGCATAACGCAGGTTGTTGATGAGTCTTCCTCCAGTCCTGATGCCACATTCCTTTTTGTAAAGCCCTGCTTCCCGAGTGATCTGTTCTGCATTCAGATTGAAAAGGTATACAGACAGGATGCATCCCTGGTGCACTCCCTTCCTGATTTTGAACCATGCAGTCTTTCCTTGCTCTTTTCTGACAACTGACTCCTGGTCCAAGTGTAGGTTTCACATGAGCGCAATCCTGTGTTCTGGGTCCCCCATTCTTTTCAGAGTTAGCTACAATTTGTTGTGATCCACGCAATCAAATGCCTTTGCACAGTCAATGAGATCAGTCTTAAATTCAAGGATTCCAAATTCTGTTCAGGAATGTTGTTCACTAACCCAGAAGCCCATGGTGCTTCAGTGTCCAGCATTTTCACCAAATGTCTTTCAGTGGAATATAAACCCTGGGTCTTCTCCTCTGAGGATGCCTCGTATCAGGAGGTGGTCTTTTAGGCCTGGTCAGCTCCCATTCTAGAGTCATTTTATACTCTCATCTAACCTGCAACCCATGTGGAAAAACCAGGTTCCAAGGTTCTGTTCTCAGAGTTAAAAGCAAAGACAAAATTGTTGTTATTTGATGATGATATTGTTCTTATGTGCCATCGAGTCACTTGCGACTCATAGAGATCCTATGTATAAGAGCCCTAAATGCTGCTGTATCTTGTGTCAACCTCGCCGTCTCAACTCAAACACATTCATTCCCACCACTCCAGTCACAGAATCGATTCATCTCATCGAAGGTCTTCCTCTCCTTCACCATCCCTCCACTCTCCCAAACATGATGTCCTTCTCCAAGGACCAGTCCCTCCTTGCAACATGCCCAAAGTATGTCAGACGAAGCTTTAGAATCCTTGACTCCAAGGAGCACTCCGGCTTTACCCTCTCCAGGACAAACATGCTTGTTCTCCTAGCAGTCCATGGTCTATTCAACACTCTTCTCCAGCACCACAGCTCAAAGGCATAAATTCTCTATCATCCCTATTCGCTGTCTAACTCTTCAATGCATAGAACGTAATTGAAAAGACTATAGCCTGGATCAGGTGTACCTTAGTCTCCAGCCTGACGTCGTTGCACTTCAGTACTCTTGAGAGGTCCGTCACAGCTGACTTTCCCAATGCAATTCATCTCCTGATTATTTCCTGGCTGCTGTTACCAAGAGTGTTGACTGTGGAGCCAAGAAAACTAAAAATGTTAACTATCTCAATCTTTTCACCATCCATGCTGATGCTGCCAATCGGCCCAGTGGTGAGAATCTTTGTTTTCTTGACGTTGAACCTCAATCCATATTGGAGGCTGCAGTCCTTGACCTTCTGCAGCAAGCGCTTCAGGTCCTCCTTAGCTTCATGCAGCAGGGTTGTGTCATCCGCATAAGGCAGGTTGTTGATAATATGTGCTGTCAAATCAACTACAACTCATAGAGACTCTACGAACAGAGCCACTGACCCCTGCCTTATCCTGCGCTAACCTCACCATCTCTGACCTATCTAACACCGTTGCCACAGTCAGTGTGTCCATCCAGCTCATCCAGGGTCTTCCTCTCCTGCGCTGTCCCTTGACCCTTCCAAGCATGGTGACCTTCTCCAACGGCTGGTCCCTCCTGACAACATGCCCAGAGTATGTGAGATGGTTTTCAAAATTCTTGCCTCTAAGGAACAACTTGGTTTCACCCTCTCTAGGACAGACCTGTTTGTTCTCTTGGCAATCCATAGTATGCTCAATGCTCTTCTCCAGTACAACTCAAAGGCATTGGTTCTTTTTCTGTCATCTTAAGTCATTGTCCAGCTCTCAGATGCACAGTTAAATTCTCTGTCACACAGAAAGGTATAGCTTTAAAATCCTTTAATTCAAAGATTAAAAAAAATGGTTAAAATCTCTGGTGACCTAGTGGCAAGAAGTTGCACTGCAGTCCCAGAAGTACGTGGTTCGAATCCACCAGATGCTCTGCTGGAGAAGGAGGAACAATCTCCTCCTGTACCAGTCAGATCTGATTTGGCGGTATACACACACACACACACACATACACACACTAAACTAAAAAAAAAAGTTTAAAATCATTTAGCTACTAAATTTCCACCTTAATGACAACAAGCAACTCATGCCATGGATTCAGAACCTGAGTTGGTTCAGCAGACCTTCCAGCAGGTTTTCAAAGACTGTAAATTAAGTCCCGTGGGAGGAGACGGCTCATCTCTATCCCTCAGGATTCGATCTCACTGTCTCTCAGTTCATGGAACAACTAGAACTCCCCAAATCCCTACCTTAAGCAGTTCTAAAACGAAGAGTAAAATTGTATGAAACACAATGCAAATGAAGGCTAGTGTGAAACAATGTGCACAAACTTTGTAAGCAAACCAATATAAAGTAAAAATTTAAACAAAAAAAATATTAAAAAGAAGAGTGAATGAAATACAAATAGAATACAAAGGGAATAAGGAGCAGAAAGCCATGACTAGGATACACTCTGTTGTTATTGTTGTTGTGTCTGCTGTTGTTAGGTGCGGTGAGTTCAGTGTGACTCGTAGTGACCCTATGAACCATCTGAATCCTGTGTCCTCATCGTCATCTCTGACGCACTTGAACCCATTGTTGCAGTCACCGTGTCCATCTATCTTATTGAAAATCATCTTTCTTTCCAGAAATACCAAGCCAAAACTTAGTTCTTTGGAAGAATGAGTAAAATTGATTAGCCTCTAGCAAGACTAATGTTGTTATGTGTTATGAGTTTGCGATTCATAGCGACCCTATGTACAACAGCCCTAAACCCTTCTTTATCCTGTGCCAATCACACCCATTCCGATTACCCCAGTCACTGAATCAATCCACCTCATAGAGGGCCTTACCCTTCTGCGCCATCCCTCCACCCTCCCAAGCACGATGTCCCTCTAATAAAGAAAAAAAAAAAGAGAACACCCAAATATTACTGTTAATAAGATGAGAGCAGAAGTGTCATTTCAGGTCCTATGGACACGAAAAAGATAAGAATGCAAATTTTATATCAATAAACTTGACAACCAAGATGAAATGGCTTAAAAATACAAACATGCTAATTACAATATGGAAGATCATAAGTCTAGGGCTACACAGAATTTTTTTCCAAAACCAAAAGAATCTAGACAGGTGTCCTGGAGTGTTAATAAAGCAGAGACCTGAGAGGGAGATTTGATGAGCTGGCAGTAGTGTATTCCTGATAGGTCGAGCAGCATGTGCAAAGGCCCTGGGGTCAGAATGAATTTTGTACATTACCGGGAAAACATCCACTGCAGTGATTCTTTCTGGCCCTCCATCCTTCTCAGGAGTGAATGTCTAGCTAGACCTGCTCTGTTTGAAAAGGATTATTTAGTGGGATCAAAGACAACCTATTCGCAGGACATGGCCTTGGGAATTTGGGGGCTATAACTAGGAGGGGACATGTCTTTTCTTTTTTTTTTACAGTTTTATAACTTTATTTGACAATCAGCTATTAGTTTTCATCCACATTGACGGTCTGTAGGTTTTTTAAAGTGGTGACAGGTCCATAGGTAACCAGTGTACACAGCTTGTTTGGGGAATCTTCATCCTCATTACGTTTTCTGGACAACCGTACACGGATGCGGTACGGGACATTCCTTATTCCTTTGGCCCAGACAGCTTTGTTAAGCCTGGTGTCAATGCAAACATCAGGTGTTCCCATCTCCTTCATGGCAAATTTCCAGATCTCCTTTAGTGCCCGAGGAGCGCGCTTCTTAAACCCCCTCTTTAGTCTTATTTAACTGCTGTCTAAGGATTCTAATTCACAGGACCGGCGTGTGCATAGTTAAACAGAGGGTTTTATAAAATGCATCGCAGTGAGGTCTATCCTGCAGCCCAGCGCTTAAGCATTTACACCACTCAGGGGCTTCTTAGCTTTTAATCCAGGTTTAATTTAAATACAAAGCAATGCATAGCAATGACCTTCATATTTGGAATCCACACTTTAAAACCCAGACTTTGACCAGCATCACAGTTGGAACATGTCTTATTGTTCTGCTTTGGAGCGAGTGGTCCCTTTTGCTGGCAAGGTGAAGCTTTTCTTCTGTGAGTCTTCCCACTGAGGGGTGTACTTATAACTCACTGGGTATCGAGTTACATCCCCTGAGTTCTCTGGGCCTGTCCTTACTACTGTTAACCTCATTCTACAGAGCAGAGAGCTGAGGCTTCAGAGGACCGAGGTCACAGAGGCCGAGCTCTAACCACTATGCCCGAGCGCCTTCGCTATAAATTTGTCTGTTTGGGTACCGATTAAGCTGCGGTTTGTGTTTTGGCAGTAGGTTCCCCAAAGAGCCTCGATTATCACTCTTCCTCATGTTCAAGGGTTCTCTTTGGGGGAGAAAAGTGTGATCCAATTTCCAATCAGTTTTCCCCTCCACTCTGCAAAACCACAGCCAAGGAGGTGCAGCGAGGCAGCAGGTTCTGATGTGCCTTCAAGAAAAGGGTGGGGAGAGGAGAGTCCCTCTCAGGCCCAGAGGGTGTGCAACTTCCTGCCAGTGAGGAAACACTGGGCTCCAGTAAGCCCTGCTTCTCCTTTCCCTCTCTGGCCTCACAGGAGGAGCTGGTGGGCAGCGGGGGGCCACTCTGGCCTCAGCTGGATCTCCAGCCGCGCGGGAGGAGAGATGCCCTGGTCTGTCCTGCTCTTTGCAGCTGGTGAGTCTGATGCCCTCACCGTCACTTCTGCCCCACCGCCCCTACCCAAGCCCACTGTACTTGCTGTGGGACCAGAGGCCAGTGCTGAGCTGCTCTGCCCTTCTCAGGTGAGAGGTGAGGCTGGCCTCCCCTCGTCTGCCCAAGAGCCAGAGAAGCACCCTAGGAAGTGCCTTCTCTTGCTGGGCTCCTTGTCACCCCAAAATCAAGAATGTCAGATATATCAGCCTGTTGGAGAGGAGCTGCCCACGCCCCATGACTCAGCCCCATTGGCTTCCCAAGGGGAAGAATCTGTTTGAGGTTCAGGGCAGGGGCTGGCAAGGTGTAGGGAAGCCAAACACCGGACGGCTTGTACAGACCTCACCTGAGCCAGACACAGCCAGGTGGGCAGCTGGGGCAGAGACTGGGCCCCAGGCAATTCCTGCCCGCATGTAGTCTTGCTCTAAAACACATATTCATCACCGCACCTGGAATCCAGCTCCTCTGCTCTGCCCCCAGCCCGGCCACCCTGACCCTCTCACTGCTTCCTTTCAACCCACCGGGCCTCTGCCTTTGCTCTTCACTCAGCCTTCCCTCTCAGAACTCAGCCCAAGCGTCACCTCTTCAGGGAAGCCCTCCAAGGCTGCTCCAGCTGAAGCCAACTTCCTAGTAGCCTGTCTGCTCATGTCCTGGACAAGAATGTCAAAGGCACTAGAGCTGGGTGTCTGTCTGTCTGTCTTGTTCATTGTTCTGTCCCAGCACCCAGGCTACTGGTTCAGTGCTACTGGAAATAATGAGAGTACTGTGGTGTTATGTGAATAATCTACATAGTCTATGCTTTTTGCCAACAGTGCAAACCACCCCCCATTTTACATGCATTTTATGTCTTTGTGTTAGTTATGTGGGTGTGTTATTTACATGGGCTTGTTATTTGTGAAGATCTAATATAATGAGTTATTCCACGATGACCGTCAAAGAGCCTGGTGGGATAGTGGTTAAGAACTTGGCAGGCGGACTGAGAGGTTGGTGGTTTGAAACCACCCAAGGGTAAAAAGAAGTGACAGATTGTGGGTAAAAAGAAGTGACAGATTGCTTTTGGAAAGATTACTCACAGCCCTGAAAACCCTGTGGGGTGGTTCTTCTCCAACCAAAGGGCAGCTATGAGCTGGATGAGGCATAATGAGAATGCATTTGGTTTTCGTTTTATAATAACCATCTCTGTGATTCTAAAAGGATATAAAATGATTCAAATACCCTGTCACTGTCACAGAGGCCCCTCAACCTAGCAGTATGGTGGTGGCTGTTGCTGTGCCCTGTTGAGTGTAACTGACTTGTAGCTGACCCTCCAATGGGTTTTCAGAGTCCGAAGAGAAGAGGTGGCCCCTTTTTTCTCCCACCAAGCATCTGGTGCATCCAAGCCATGTGCCTTGGGATTGGAAGCTCAAATCCTCAGCCCTGAAGCCACCAGGTGGCAGCCACAGCTGTAGGGGAGGGGTTACCATCCTCTGGATGGCCAAGGCCCAGAGACAGCCAGCTCAGAGAGCCCCACATGCAGCCCCTCCGCTGTCCACACCACCCTCACCCCAACCCAACACCAAGTCCACCTTTTCTGAACGGGTTGGACTTAGAGATCCGAGGCTGTACTCAATGGAGGAGACTGCTGTCATCTCTCCCCAGAGCTCCTGATGAGAACATCCCCCTTGTGTTAGCAGCTCAGTATGTTACACACCGGGCCCCTTACCCACCCTGGCGACCCTCCTTTATCTGCACTGCAGGCTCCTTGGCGATTCCAGCACCCACCATCCTGCTGGTGCCCCCGCACCCCCGCAGCCAAGAGGACCCCATCCATGTCAAGTGCACAGCCCCCAAGGGCTTCCCGGGCGCAAATTTCACGCTGTACCGTGAAGATCAGGTGGTCCAGTGCCTGCAGGCGCCCGCGGACCAGCTCGGGGTGATCTTCAACTTGAGTGGCGGTGGTAGCCAGCCTCCAGGGGGGACATTCCAATGCCAGTACTGCGTGATGGGGGAGCACAGCCTGACCCAGAAGTCGGACCTCAGCAAGCCCGTGCACGTTTCTTTCCCAGGTGAGAGATTTGGAGGGGAGCTATGTGGCCAGGCATGCCACTCTTCCACTGCCCCCAGGCCACCCCACGCACCGGCATCCCTGTGCCACCTCTGAGCCACCTGTGGCCACTCGCACACCTCCACATGCCACCCACCCCTGAGCTATCTCCATGGTGCTGAGGGATCCCTCTGCCTAGGACACCATCCTGGAAAAGCCAGGCAGACAGCGCAGTTGGCCTTCTTTAATCCTCACAGCCACCCAGTGAGGGGGCTATAGGCTTCTGCCCATTTTGCAGATAAAGAAACTGAGGCACAAAAGGCAAATGGACTTGTTCTTAAACCCCACAGCCAGCAGGTGGCAGAGCTGGGATTCCAGCAGTCTTTAGCCACCAGCTAAACGGCACGTTCCCTCTCAGTCATGGTGGCAAGGAGCTGCCCTGCAATCCCGAAGGCATGAGGTTCAAGGCCACCAGGTGCCCCATGGGAGAAGGATGGGCAATCTTCTCCCATGAGATTTACTGCTTCTGAAAACCTGCCAGAGGGTCAGGTATGGGTTGGTTCCGACTCTACCACGGTACACAACAATAAACAACAACAACTATGTTCCCAAGTGGTAGGAAACCACTTCCTGGTTTCAAATTAAGAAAAGTGTGGATCAGGGTTGTATCCTCTCTCCATACCTCTTCAGTCAGTACTCTGAGTACATATTTGAGAAACTGGCCTCTGTGAAAAAGAATGTGGCAGCAGGATTGGAGGAAGACTCAAGAACCTGCATTAGGCAGATGCCATGACCTTGCATGCTGAAAGTGAGGACTTGAAGCTCTTCCTCAGAAAATCAGTGACTACAGCCTTCAAGATGGATTGTATCTCAACATCAAGAAAAAAATTCCCACCACTGGACTGATGGACAGTATCACGACAGACGGAGAAAAGATTGAAATTGTCAACGACTTCATCTTCCTTGGCTCTACAAGGAATACACTTGGTACCAGCAGTCAGATCAGGGGATGTATTGCAGTCAGGGGTCTCTAAAATTATTGAGGAACAATGATGTCACTGTGAGGACTAAGGTGTGCCTCATTCAGATCACGGTCTCTTCAATCACTTGTTATGCATCTGAGAGCCGGACAGTGAATCAAGATGACAAAAGAAGACTTGATGCCTTTGAGCTGTGGTATTGGAGAATAGTACTGAACTTCCCAAGGAGGGCAAAAGAACAAACAGATCTGTCTGAGAGAAGTGAAGCCAGAGTGATCCTTGGAAGCAAAGATTATCAGCTTCACCATCTCATATGCTCCGGACATGTTGCTAGGAGGTGCTGTTCATTGGAGAGGGATATCATACTTGTCATTCTTGGGAAGGTGAGGGCCAGTGAAAGAGAGGAAGACCCTCAACCAGGTGGATCGATACAGTGACTGCAGTGATGGGCTCAGGTGTATCAGAGGATGGTATAGGTAGGACAGGGTTCAGCTCTGTCGTTCATAGGGTCACTGTGAGTTGTACTTGACCCGATGGTACCTGACAACAATAACAACAACAAAACCTGGCAGCAGTTAATGAAACAGTATCCCTGCCCTCCTGTCACTAATGTTTTGGGGAGAGACAGAAGATGCAAAAGTTGGGAACAGAGAAGATTCAATAGTTAGAAAACATGGACTCGGTGACAGAAATGAAGCTGGAGACAGAATGATTGAATTTTGCACAATGACTCATTCATTGCAAATACATTCTTTAAGAGACATAAACGCAGGTTATACACATGGATTTCACCTGATGGTATGCATAGGAATCAGATTGATTACATCTGTGGAAAGAACCACTGGAGAAGCTCAATATCAGCTGTGAAAACTAGGCTAGGAGCTGATTGTGGAACAGACCACCAATTACTCATATGCAAGTTCAAGCTGAAGCTGAGAAAAATTAAACCAAATCCACAGGAACCATAATATGACTTTGAGTCTATTCCACCTGAATTTCAGAACCATCTCAGGAACAGGTTTGAGGCCTTGAACACTAAAGAGAGAAGACCAGAGGAGCTGTGGGAGGATATCAAGGGTATCATCCAGGAAGAGTGCAAATGTTCATTACAAAGACAGGGGAGGAAGAAAAGACCAAAATGGATGTCAGAAGAGACTCTGAATATTGCTCTGGGGCGCAGAGAAGCCGAAGCAGAAGGAAGAATTCAAGATACTCAAGAGCTGAACAGACAGAGCGGGAAGACAAAGTAAAATATTACAATGATGAACAAGCAGGTGAGAAAAAGTCAGCAGGTGAGCAGAGGGAAATAAAGTGCAGGAGGAAATACAGTCTGACAAGGGTGTAATTTTAAACAGAATGTGGGTGGTCGTGGTGGGCCTCTGAGGAAGTGACCTTGGAAAAGGAGTCTGTAGGCATCTGGGGAACAGCTTGTGCAAAGGCCCTGAGGCAGGCACGTGCTTCCTCCTGAGCATGGAAGAGCCCACGGGGACTGGAACGGGGTGAGTACGGGAAGGGTGATGAACGAGAGGAGGACAGGGAGGGGACTATCAGACTACAGGACCTTCTGGGCTGAAGTGAGGACTTTGCTTTGCCTCTGAGATGGGGGTATGGGGAGGCGGATGTGTGTCCGAGAAAGAGAGTGGTGCTGACTCTGGATTCTGAACACAGAAAGGAGTGATGGAGTGATGCGCACCCCCACCCCCACCCCAGGTGCCTGTCTCCAGGTTAGACCCAGTCTTTCCATGAAGAACTTTCCCCTGTGAACTGGTCCTTGTTCCTGAAGAGCCCCAGGCGCCCATGGTGTAACAGAACCAGCTCAGTGTGCATTTCAGTAGGGAGCTCGCTGTCAAAGGCCCCCTTCTCTCACCTTGGCCTGTGGTCTCACTGCCCGGACGTGGCACCAGCCCTCATGCCCCAGATGTATGAATGAACAAGGGCTAACACTGTGTGTTTCTCCTTCCTCCTCCTGGACCTCCCAGAGGTCCACTCTCTCTCGCTTTGGCGAGGGGCAGCTCAGTCCTGTGCAGGGAAGAAAATGCTGGAGCTGGACTCCCATGCCTCTGCATTCGACCTCTCTGTGTGTCTCGGGATCTTCTGCTGCGTGGCTGGGAGTAGATGTTGTGCTGTGTGACCCTCTAGTTCACTGTCATTGCTACGTATCATTGGACTGGTTCTAACTTACAGTGCTCCGTGCAGGCCAGACGCCATCCAGGTCCCGCATTATCCTCACAGTCCTTCCTGTGCTGGAGCCACTGTCAGTCCGCCTCATTGAGGGACTTCCTCTTTTTTTTTTCTTTCTTTTCTTTTATTATTTTTTGTGCATGTGTACCGTCAAATCGGATCTGACTAGTAGAGGGTCTTCCTCTTTTTTCTGCTAATCTTCTCCTTTATTAAGCGTGATGTTCATCTCCAGTGATTAGGCCCTCCTGATAACACGCCCAATGGGTCTGAGACCTCTGGTTCCCACACAGGACTCCTGAGTTTCAAAGAACTGAAAACTTAACTCAAACTGCCTTAAGGAATTAACAAATTTTTGTTTCATAGAACTCAACAGCCCAGGATCATACTGGCTTTAGGTATGGTTGGATCCAGGTGCATAAAGAAGTCAAGAATTCTTTGCCACTTGCTTGTCCCACTTTCTCTTGGGAGGCTTCTCATCTCAGAACCTCCCTCTCTCTCTCCTACCCTCACCCTCCCAACCCCCATCATGGTACTGAATTGCATCCTGCAGTTCCAGACCCATATCCTACTTCGCTTTGCAATTCTAACCAGAGGAATAAACTTAGAGGTTGAACGAAAGTCTCAGAATTAGCTTTCATTGGCTTAACTTAGGCGACAGGCCCTCCCTGAACCAATCATAATGGCCAGAGGAATATGTTAATTGTCTAGACTCAGTATTTGCCTCTTCCCTAGGGTCCAGCTATGCAGCCAAGCCTCATGGGTGGGGAGCATTGTTGGGCAAACACCAGGTGTCCCATCCTCCTGCTGCCCCCACAGCACCATGACCTGCCCTCTCCTCTGTTTCCATTCCCCCCCAGTGCCCACCTGGATCCTGGCGCTTTCCCTGAGCCTGGCTGGAGCACTCATCTTCCTTGCTGTGTCGGTGGCTATTGTCATGGTGATCAGGAAAGGTAACAGGAAGGAAAGAAGGCACTGCCCAGGCCTCTCTACCCCCATACCCCCCAGGCCCAGGGGCTGCCAGTTCTGACCTCGGGAGTGTAGAAATGGGTTCCTGTGCACAGTCGTTTGTTTCGGAGCACAAAGGACGATGTTTTGTGCGTGCTCGTGCATTGTGGGAAGGTTTCCCACAGTCCTGCTGTCCTGGAGGCCTGTTAGTGGGGGCATTGCTTGTGAGTGGCAGACATGGCGAGGGACAAGTCAAGGCCGAGCTGCAAGTGCACGGAGGGAGGGGACGCATCAGGACAGGCTTCTAATGCCCTGAGTCAATCCTGATTCAGAGAAACCCATCAACTGCCACCTTAGATTTCTTTGCTGCGCATTTTTTCCAAAAAAAAAAAAAACATTAGTGAGGAAAAGAGATGTAATTAATTCCGCGAACAAAGTAAACAGGAGAAGAAACATAGCTGTAATGCTCATGGAAGCAGACAGCTCCATTTTTTCCCTGTCAGAGCAGCGGGTAGGATTGAACTGCCAACCTTTCAGTCGTTCTCAACTATTGAGCTCCTGACCAGAAACTGTTTCTTTCAGAGGTCTTTAGGAGTTTGGGGATGGGACCAGGACCCAAGTCTAACCAAGTTTCCTCCTTTTCTTTTGTTTTGTTCATTCTTTGTGTCTGCAGTTAAAGTCACTAATTTGCAGAAGAAAAGGTGAGATTTCCCTGGAGACTCTCAGTGGGTGGTGTAAGGGACAGAGACTCTCACTCTTAGCCCTGGTGGGTGGGTGTCCAAGCATCTTTGACTATGGTGCTGGGCTGGGTCCCAGCTTCCTGCCCGGAACAGCACCCGCCAGTGGGAGGAATGTCCAGGAATAGGAACTGGAGGAATAAGAGAATATAATAGAACAGGAGGATGCTGGGAAGTCACTTCCGACTCATGGTGACCCTCCTTCGGGTTTCTGAGGTTGTAAATCTTAAATGGAAGAGACTGTGTCATCGTTCTCCCACAGAGGAGCTGCTATGTTTGAACTGCCAATCTTTAGATTAGCAGCCGAAAGCTTAACTGACTGTGCTACCAGGGATCCTAAATTAATAGTAACAAAAGCCATTAAGAGCCGCCTGTCTACTCACTGGCGTGGGGCTGGTACCTGCCAAGCAGGCGCTCCCATTATGCTCACTGCGGCCTTGGGAGTGGGCACTTAAAATAATCCCATTTGACAGATGAGGGCCCCGAGGCTCACTGTTGCTGGAACAGGGCTGTGACCCATTGAGAACCCCGCAAAAGGGCAGGAGAGCAGTGACTGCAGGGCTCACACGGTGCCCTGTTAGCACCCCGAAGCTGTGGTTCTAATTCCTGGTGTCAGGATGTTTACTGCCCCCCTCCCTGAGGGTCTGAATCAATCATGGATCACGAATCAAGGGGCTTGAGCAAATGAATTTCTATTTCTTTATTTTTCCCTCATCTGGCTGGGCACTGAGAGGATTGGGGGCAGGGGTGCCCCAGGGAACAGGGCCTGGGATCTGGCCTCCCCTCCCAGGCACTCTGTAGGGAGAAAGATCAATGAGGGTGAGGGAGGAAGCTGAAAGCCAAGTACTGGGCTTGGTTTGGGGCCAGGACTTTGGAAGCGGCTGCCCCAGTGCGTGGGGGAGGCTGGGCCAGTCCTCACTTTCTCCTGAATCCCTTTGCAGAGAGCGAGAATCCTGCTGGGCCCAGATTAACTTCGCCACCACAGGTGTGTGCCTCCTGTCCTCCTCCTCCTCCTCCTCCCAAATGCCAGCTGGGCCTCAGTGCCTCCACTTTCTCAGCTGTTCTCTTCACCATTCACTCACCCTGCCCTCAGCCTGAACACTCCTCTTCCTCCAGGAGCCTCTAAAAGTCACCTCCTCTAGGAAGCCTTCCTGGATGCCAGCTTTTTGCTTAACATTCACCTCACCCTCTCCCTCAACTAAACCACAACAGTAGCTATCAGTCAACTTTGCCTCTTGACAACCCTACATGTGTTAGATTAGAACTTTGTTCTGCAGAGCTCTCCTTATTTAAATTTTTTTCCATTTATAATCTCTATTTATTTTGTTGCTGTTGTTTTAAAGACTATACACAGCAAAAACATACAATTCATTAGTTTCTAAATGTGTAATTCAGTGACATTGGTCACATTTTTTGAGTTTGTGTAGGGCTTTCAGTGAGAGATTTTAAATAAATAAATATAGAGCACCAGGTCTTTCTTCCAAGGCACCTCTGGCTGGACTCAAACCACCAATCTATTACTATTATTATTATTATTATTATTATTTACTTATTATTTTTGTGTGTACCATCAAATCAGATTTGACTGGTACTGGCGGAGATTGACCCTCCTTCTCCAGCAGAGTATCTGGTGGATTTGAACCGTGAGCCTCTGGGATGGCAGTGCAGCTTCTTGCCACTAGGCCACCAGAGCTCCAAACCACCAATCTTTTTGGTTATCGCCCAAGCACTTTAATCGTTTGCATTTTCCAGGAATGCCCAAAACCTGTTGATTCTCCTTATCCCTAAGCAGTAACACAAAAATGATGTGAGTTGTGTGTTCAACAGTCACCCCTGATGGACAGTGAGCTGTCCTGCAAAAGGAGGTGACCACCTGCTCCCCGCTGCACTCGGGTGCTGTCCTCCTGTCTGTCTGGCGCCTGGACCACTCTGGATGCAAATGCATCCAGACCCTGTTATTTTGCCAACCTCCACTAGGGGGCCTGTGAGGGTCGCTGCTCTTCCTCCAACAAACTGAGTGGAGAAACTATTTTTCTGTTGTACACGTTGATTGAGGGAGCGCGGCTGGCCTAGCGGTAAGAAGCTATGCTGCTATCCCAAAGGTTTGACTCCAGCAGCTGTTCCATGGGAGGAGGCCCGGCAATCTCCTCCCACAACATTCACTGCCTCTGTAACCCCACTGGAGGGTCAGCTATGGGTCTGTTCAGAATCAAAGGCACACAACAACAATGACACATTAATTGAGAGCTGAGATCTGGGAGTCAGCTCAGAGGATGTGCAGCAAAGGTCTGAATGAGTAACAGAGTAGCTGGGGGTAAGTGGGTGAGGGATGGGGAGTTGATCACTTTGGAAAGAGCAGGAGAGGTGGGGTCATCCATTCCAGAAGGGGAATCTAAAGTAGATGTGAGCTGAGATGTATCTCTGAACCTGAGGGCACCCAGAGGCCCTGGAGGAGGGCGGTGAACAGGGAAGGGACATGGTTCAATTTGTAGGTGGAACCGTTTCCCCATTTCCCAATGAACTTAGAGCCAGTGACCTGGAGTTGGGGGGCTTGGTGGGCAGGGAAGTTTCAGCTGACCCCAGATCCAGCCTTGATTGTCTTCTCTTTCATTTTTTTATTAATTTTAATGAAAGTTACAGAGACTTAGGGTTTCCAGTCATTCATTGTTGCACTTTTCTCCCTGCCCACTCCCTCCTCCCAATTCACTCTTCTCCTTGAAAAGTAAAAGAAAAACCTTTCAAAACCTTTCATTGTTATACAATCCCTTCCCCCAAGTCCACTCCACTATGCAGCCTTCATTCTGGACTCCTGTCATGACAAAAATACCCAATCATATATCCGTTTTAAACAGTTCTCTCCCTCATCTGTTTCAGTGTAGTATACATCATTCCCCCCCTCCTTTTCTGTCTTCCCTCAACCCTGATGTCAGTCCTGTTTTACAACAGGGGCAATATTTGTCCTTTTGTGACTGAGATATTTCACTCAGCATAATGTCCTCCAGGGTCATCCATTTTGCACAATA